TTTTTGTTATTTTCAATGTTTGTACTATTGAACATGTGAATCAATACAATACTGTACACAATTCTTCCACTGATTCCGGTTGCGGACCATGTCTTCAAGAGTGCTAAGCCATTGGCACTCCTCATCTTTGCGTCCCTATCCTGGAAGACGTACGGATCCCACAGCGGCTAGACACGACGTCAGCGATTTCATGTGCTGCCACCAAGTGGAAGACTGACCACCACGCGGTCGCCTCCAGCCAGGTCCTTGATGAGCGAATAGAGCGCGACGCGGTAGACCCTCAGGTGTCATGCGTAGGACTTAGCCGAGCCATCTCAATTGGCGCAACAAAACCAGTTTGGAAGGCAATACTCGCATTCCACAAGAAGCGACGTCGAACGTCATTGCTATTAACTCGATTTTGCCACCAAACACGAGCGATCCTCCTTAAACAACCGTTATCGAAAGCAGAAAGACGACGCATGTCTTCCACGCGAATCGGCCAGGACTCGCACCCATACAACAATATTTAGCGAACTGATGCGCTGTAAACGCGGCCCTTTAGTGAGAATGAGACGTCGCGACGACGCCACAAGTGCCTCCGATTGACAAATGCTGATCGAGCTTTAGCGATACGAAGAGACACTTCTTTGTTGATAGTGCCGTCAGCAGAAACACAGCTCCCAAGGTAGACGAAACAATCTACATGTTCAAGTTGTGCACCTTCGAGAGTGAGCACGGGAGCAGGTGAAAGCCAATCCTTGAGCAGTACTTTACACTTCGATGGGGCGAAGCTCATGCCACAGTTAGATGCTTCAACCGCCAAACGGTCCAGAATGTGTTGCATACCCTGAGGATCGTCACCAAGTAAGGCGATATCATCAGCATAACCTCAGTCGATCGCGCGCTCACCCGGTAGGAGCTCTAGGCCAAAGTGTTGGAAACCTTTTTGAGCATTCGACAGAACGTCTTCGATTGCGAAGTTGAAGAGGAATGGGGATGTAGGGCAGCCCTGTCGCACACCGCTATTGGCAGCGAATTGCGAGGAAAGCTTGCCATAGACCCTCACTCTGCCGGATGTATGAAGGTAAAATGCTCGTAAGATGGCGGTATATTTCTACGGCATCCCCTTCTTTAGCAAGCAACGTCATAAAGCAGGTCGACCAACGGAGTCATAAGAGGCACGTATATCTAAGAATGCAACGATAGTGGGCCTGTGATAAATGTGGCGAGGTTCGAGGAGCTGGCGGAACGTGAAGATTTGATCCACGCATCCGCGGCCAGGACGGAAACCAGCTTGTTCTTCACAGTAGTATGATTCACCTACTGGGGATAGTCTGCGAAGCAGAATGGATGCCAATTGCTTAGATGCAACCGAAATAAGACTAATCCCACGATGATTTGCACATGAAGTGCGAACGCTTTTCTTGAAAATTAAGACAATAACTTGTTCGCCCCAAGAGAAAGGCACTTCACTTAAGTCAAATTTTTGCAACCAGCGCGGTCAGCTGGTTAATGATCACCACACCGCCGTACTTGAATAACTCTGGAGGATGTCCGTCCAAGCCGGCAGGTTTGAAGTGCTCCAAGCGTCGAGTCTCGAGGCAGACTTCCGCTTCGCTAGGTGGATGCAGTGGGGCGAGCCAGGGTGGACAACAAGGTGTACTGCATGTACTGATGGATGGTGGAGGCCAGTTGAACTGCGAGTGAAAGTGCTCGGCCCAGAGGTCCATACGCCTCTGTTGGTTGGTGATCGGAGACTCATCCGCCTCACAAATGATCTCAATGACACCAAGCTTCCTGAAGCCAGTGGACCGAATGAGTTGGAAAAGCTTGCGAGTGTTGCCAGAGAGGGCAGCGTTCACCATCTCTAAAGCACGCTCAGACCACCATGTCTCGCGATCCTTGTGTAGGCTTTGCTTGAGCAGCCGGTTGGCAGAACGGCGCCGCATGTTGCAATCTGATTCCGCGGGGATATCTTTGCGGCGTTCGAAGAGCTCCAGAGAACGAGCAGAGATCCAAGATTTCAAAGGGCGTCGAGTTAGACCGCAGCATGACTGTCCGGAAATGGTCATCGCTTTACGTATACAACTCCAGTGTTGTTCCACTTCTTGCGGTGGATTACGACTGAGTGCATATGCCAGTGAAGACTGATGGCTCGCCTGGACAGAGGAATCAGTTAATCTGTTTACATCAATCTTGCGGTGCTTCATGTTTTGGGATCCTCCAAAACACATACAGATTTTCGCGCAGACGTGAGCATGATCTGAGTCAACGAAGGTGGACCAAAAGGACCTGCAGTCCAGTACGCTGCCGCGCCATCTGAAGCTAATTGCAATGTGATCAATTTGAGACCACGGTTGTGTTGAAGAAGGTGGACGCCACTTTGGGGAACGCTTCTTCGTACGCCTGAAGCTAGTGTTCGAAAGAAACAGACGGTTGTCTTCGCACAATGTGTGAAGTCTCTCTCCATCATCAGAGCGGTTCTCATCGAGCGCGTGATGACCACCAAGGTGGCGTTCGTATGGTAACAGGCGGCCAACTGGTGCATTAAAACCCCCGGCAAGGATAACGACATCCGACTTTTTAGCATTAGTCAAGAGCTGTTGTACATCTCGGTAGAATTTGTCCTTGACTGAGTCGCCACTGCAATCAGTTGGAACGTACACGGAGATCACAAAGAAGTTGTGTCTCTCTTCGCGGTGCCTTTTGATTCTACATGAACCCCGAAGCCGAACTGCACATAATCGGCTGTTAATCGGGAACCGGTCCAATAGTGCCGCCTCGGCCTTGCCACTTAGTTCTATACCTACACCAGCCAAACCCGCTGAGGCTGCTTTTTGATCTCCGGAAAGACGCAGGTGATATCTGGCTTCGTGGTCAGTTGGGGATGTCAATGTAACTACAGTGCTGGGACCTTGCAATCGGGTTTCTGAAAGGCAGCAGGCATCAATGTCTAGGGAATCTAGGGTGCGCGCTAGACCGGCTTGCTATCCATTCTGTATGAGTGCCCGAACGTTGGAGCACGCCAGACGGAACGAGGATCGGGGATGAAGGAGAGCCATAGGTTGAAATCCCAGTCTGCGGCGCAGCCAGCTTGTTGCGCACATGTATCGGGTAACGGAAATTGAGGATTGTTAGCAAACAAACAATTGGCGTGTGAAGAAGTCGCGTGGAAGTGACTAGCAGAAACAGTAGCTGATGTGCACGTTGTAATACAGTCCATGGTTTTACGAGAGGGCGTAATACTACCCGGTTGCCCAAGCTGAAATCGGGAGTTGAATTAGGGGACTCCACCCCGAGCCTTTGACTAAATAACCTATCCGCAAGGCAGCGGGGAAAAGTTAGCGAATTACGCCCATTGGGAGACATTGACTGAATGATCAGTCCATGCGTCTTTGTTTGGTAGATTAGCAAACAGGGGCCCAATACTCCCCATGAAGTCAGCACAATTGCTGGAATACAATGCCCTATGGAGGTGGAACATTGTCGCCGAACACTTTGCTGGAACGGGGTACACCCGAACCACTCAGCTGGCACCACGAGGAGGTAGTTTGGCAAGCCAGCCTCTGGAGAGGGTACGCGTGGTCAATCCAAAATCTACTTCGATTCGATATGGACAAATATAGGGTGCTGCACTTACGACACAAGTTGGTGTGCTCCTACAAACTCGGCAACCAGGAGCTTTAAACGTCTTCTGGCGGAAAGAATCTAGGCCAACGTTGCTGTTCAGATCAGGCGGAAATAGCATCAGGAAGAAACATCCTACACATAGCTCTTTTGCCACATGTATTCGGACGATCCGACACGTACACTTTTCAACAGCTTTTCCGCTCATACGTATGGCCGCATGTAGAAAACCTAAGAAAGGACTCTGTGATCCTACTGTAGCCTGTAACGTTGTATGCCACCTCGAGCTTTCTGCTCGCAACCAAAATATTGAGCACTTTCTGCAGTAATAGTACAAAATGTTGCTTGCTTGCATGTGATCAGTGAGCACTAAATCAAATCACACTGCAACACCCGCCTTCTTATTGGGTTATTTAGAGTTATAAAGGAAACGTAATGCCTTAAAGGTCCCATTTGTTTCATTTCATAAGAACTTACATTGAATCGACAGTTTATAATAGATTTACCGCGGCAAGTCCGCGGGTGTGAATGTAAGTTTGCTGACCATTTTTCTATAGTTTAAAATATTCACCATGAGCATCCTACGTGGCCTGTTAAGCTTTAGCTTCTTCATCCGTATAAAACTATTGTTCCGTTGACAGGCAGTTTCGTCGGGACTCCGCTGAGTGCTTTTCTTATCCAGAGCACAGAACTGGGGACGTTTCATATAAGAATCAAGAAAGACTGAGGACTCAGCGAGATGAACGAAATTGTGGCGGTTTTGTGACCACTTAGTCCATCGAATGCATACATCTGCTGGAATCATCAAGCTGAGATGGTAACAATAGTACAGAGATATGATATCTGCCATCATTTGTTAATTTGACAAGTAACGACGAGCTAAATCATAGTCTACCAGTGGATCATTACTCCACAACATAAAAAATATTACAGTTGTAGCATTAAAGAAGTCTTTGTGGAGCAGCACAGTTAACTGTTTGCATATACTTTACGTAGCTTGCGTCTACTTGTGCTTCCTTTCAAAGAAACAGAATAAGAACTTATTGTAGACGCATAGTTTCTAACTGGAAACTTACTACTTCGGTGAGCAAAAATGAAATAAATAAGCTAATATGTGAACTCAACTTCAGAATAATAACGCACTCTAGATTTTACTTGCTGCCCATCATAGTGTAAGTGCCAAACTAAGTTCGCTGCGATATAAGTCACTACTGGGTACGTTACCTCTGGTTGTCGCTATGCATCTGTTGGCAAATCAGAATCGTACCACAAGGCCTGTTTCATGGCTAAGCCATGTAGTGTGTGTGCTTGTGGTTGATACCGTGTGATTTACAGCGCAGATTCCCTAAGTTTCTTGGCTATTCACCACCACAGAAACAAGTATAACTTACCCCGTAGGAAATAACATTGGGTCGGGGGGTTGTTGACGTCCACTCCTCGTCCGCCAAACCTGGAAGTTCCAATTCTTCGGTTGCTAGCTGAATGAAGATTTCCATAGCTTCTGTATCCATCTGGTTACCTGCTTTTTCGATCGCAGAAGATCTGACGGGACATATGATGTGGACTGCTCCAGACTCAGACACGTTGCTCTTGTGTTCAGAGCATATTGATTCTTCGATCGAATTACCCGAATTGGCCAAAGTGTCAGGTTGCTGAAAAGCGGTTAATTCAGGTCAACGTTGTACTAAACGTCATGTTTAATTATAAAATTAATGGATTCGGACTTGCAAGCAACAGGAACACCTTGTCTCGTTCTCCCTTCATCCCATGGTTTGCTAAGATTACACATTACTCTGACCGATGTTGGTTTAACCCGAAGCTATCTTAAGCTGATATGTAGATGGCGTTAGTCAGTTTTGTACCGTCTAAGCTACGGAGCTTGCTTACGTTCCGAATACCTTCCCCTTAGTGATCGTTTCTAGAACATTCTTTGATGCCCTGAGTGGCTGGTGGTATGGCCTGCTACCAACAAACAGATCAAGGTATGGGGCTTCTATCACATGGAAAGAACAACGTTTGTGAAATGCGATTGCTAGTGCCAAGAATACACTAGATACCATACCAATAAATCTGACATAGCATACACACTAGATGCTAACTTTATTAACGACGGATTCTAACATGAAACCTCGTGGGATAATGTATGAGACTAAACTGTGTCAGTGACTGAAGATAGCTGACTTACTAGCTTGTCGAACTTGCTATAATGCATGCACATGAAAGCTCTTTGGATATTACTGGTTAGGCGGTGAGCAAATGCACATGCTCACTTAACGAGCGACTCAAGTCTCAAACGACTAACGGAGCGACTAGGCACAGATAATGAGTGGCCGGACAAATGCACTTCACCATCGACGATATTCCATAGATCAGCACGTTTCAGTCTACACGCAGATCTAACTCATAACATACTGCATAGGCTATGCAAATTACCAAGCACTCTCAGGAAACTCGATATGGCCACATAATGGAGAGAAATATTGGGTTTTTATAAGTGTACTTCTCTAACACATTCCCAGAAGGCGTTGCTCTATCCTCTACACTTCTCGAAGTATTAGAACAACAGCTCTGGCCAACCTATCACACCCAGATTTAACGAACAGCTTTCATGTAATCATCGATTGCTGTTTAGCCCTGTTAATAGGCATTAGTGCCATGAGCACGGAATAAAATCACAATGCCTGTAGCTTAATTTTCAGGGCCAACTCCTCACGCCATTTGAGGTTCGTTTGGAAGGGTTGTGTAAATAGCACGCAAAAAGGGTATGCAAGGATGGTTCGCAAACAAATGGTTTTTTCCCTCACGTCTGTCCATTTCGTGCGGTGATTAGCTAACCTGCTTCGTCCCTTCAGCATGTCCATTCCAGTTCTCTTTGCTTGAAACAAATCTCTTCTCAGGGTGTGGTGTAAAGGATTGATTGTATGGTTTGCTCCAAAACAGTCTGACGTTCATTGTGCCAAACTGCTTTTTAGAATCCGGCTCCTCATTCAAAGGGATGATTTCGAACACTCCATCCACCTGACCTCTAGCAGGATCAACCAAACCAAGTAGAGGAATTTTGCATACGCCAAGGCAACAGGAAGAATCGTCCTGATCAGCACTGTCCACCACGTATATCTTCAAGCTCTGAGTTCGCATATATCTGATAGGAACCAAAATTGAACAGTAACTCAGTATGGTAATAAATGTGGACGGAAACATCCACTTGGAAAGAGTAAATGAAACCTCATTGACTAACTTATGATGACGGGGTGTTGCCCACCCGAAGACACTATTCAACCAAGTTATGTACCCTTCTTCTACAGTCTTAATGACCGAATGGCCAAGGTACACTTCTTTGGGAATCGCCATCCAAACAGATTGAGCGTCGTAACCCAAGCACACAACGAGTACTACAAAATGACACTCCAATCTGATAGACTGACAATATACTCACCCAACTGTGAGCCTAAGGGAGTAAGTATTTAAACGAACCATGGATAATGGTGAGTAGTAGTGAGGATTTTTGGTCTAATTCAGCTAATTCAGCATCGTCACTCACAAATAGCAGACTTAGGCTGGTCTGGAAAAGCACCAGACGCCAGCGTTTCGACCTTCTGGGTCTCGTCAGTGGTGCGCCTCCCACTGGACACCTGCCGGATTCCGACCCCATGACATCAGGATGCCAGCAGCTGGTGCCACTTTGGCGGTGGACAGCCGCGGACCTGCGTGCTTGACAGTTGACTAGCCATTGTCCTCGGCACAGTTCCTAACTGGCATGGCAGTGGAAGTTGAGCCGGACTATATCATAGTCAACTGTCAATCACGCAGTTCCGTGGCTGTCACCCGTGACCAATTGGCACTATCTGCTGGCAACTTGAAGTCATGGGGGCGGAACCCGGCAGGGATCCGGTGGGAGGCGCACCACTGACGAGACCCAAAAGGTCGAAACGCCGGCGTCTGGTACATTTCCAGACCAGCATAAGCCTGCTGATTGGGAGTGACGATGATGAATTAGCTGAACCATGGATAGTCGTTCGCCAATGCAGCTCCATTGGTTAGCTAATAATTGGTTACGTTACCGTTCCGTCCTGCTAAAATGAATAAAAGAAGAGTCTCTTTGATATAGAAGCAAACGTTGGTAGCTCAGGTTTTTCATTGGGTGGTCTGAGTGTTCTCTGAGCTCGGCAGCGAACACTCAGACCACCAAGAGTCTTTTTGTTACAGCAATGTCATATCCACAGGATGCGACTAAAGAATATCTAATTGCTCAACTTGTGGGGTTAACATCATACAGTTTGCACCGATTTGCTCTTTTCCCTGATGAATGGAAAATTAAAGGAAACATCATTAGTATCTGCATGATAAGCTGTACAAAATAAATGTTTAGTGCATATCCCTTACCATAAATTCACAATCCTCTGAGTGCTGAGGTGCGAGTTAGGATGTAACTTGCACACTTAATGATCACCAAGTGCGATGGGTGTGAGACAACTGGAGCCAGAACGGGTATGCCAACCCATCGCTGTCCGTCCAACACTCCGATATGCATTCCCTCCTTCTAAACATACGATGTGAAGAGGGGCGTTGCAATAGGATGCCATTTCGTACTCTCTAATCACATGCAAACGAGCAACGTATAAACAGAGCACTAATGGGAAGAATCAACAAGCTGAATGCAGATGGAAACAGGGCGTAGGCACAGTGCCTCAAAGGATACAACTGAAACAAGACTGAGAAACAGTATCACAGTCTCCACGGAAGTCTTAGTGTGACAGTCAAATGTTTTTGTACACAGAGCTCAGGATGATTGTGATGGATGGCCACAGCATTGGCAACCTTGAGTATTTTGGCGTTTGTATTGTGGTAAATAACCATAAGCACCACGTCCGTGTAAACTTGATGACCCGTACTTTGTAAGTGCTTAGTAGTCGATGAGGCTGGCACTTTGGAACTTCACGCCTGTCCTCGTGTTTGACTTCTCGTAGGAGCATTAACCCATTTTTGAATATGCTCTTCGATCCGCTTACATAGATACCGATCTGTTATGTCGATGCAACTGCTTCCGCAACTACAGATAAAGTGGTAAGTACAATGTGCTGTGGCGGAGATCTGTCGGGTAAGCTTGTCCGGAGGCATTGGTAACGCTCTGGTTGTCCAAACGGGGACTAGTTTGACAGTACTGAATGTCCGTTGAAACACTGTGGCTACATGTCGCTCAACTTGTTTTGCAATATGTCCTTTGAAAGGCAATTAGAGAAGGGTGGACATTTTTGCTACCGTTCTATTCTATGTTCTATTCTCTTCTGCTCGTCTGTTCTCATCCAGCGCGCGGCCGAGGAAATTAATAAATGCTACGGGGGTAACCATTTGACTGCAGCGTCTGTGTAACGAATTGCAGTGCGTACTCCAAGCATTCAGCGCTGCAGATTGTGCGAGCCTGTTGGAACAAGGTTTGGACGAGGTAGCGTTTGTGTTGGATAGCTGCAAAGTTACTGAAGTGTTCGTATAGTCCTGGCTAGGTGGCCTTTTGATAGACAGATCGCCGTATGGAGCCAACTGCTTTGCTTGTCAATAGCGCATCCAAAGGCGAGACAGTTGTTTCTCTCTAATTCACATTTACAATGGACAGCCGGGTTTGCGTCGTTCATCGCATCGAGAAGAGGCTCGGTAGCGTTGATGTTTGGAGCGATCACCAATGTATCATCAACGTACCGCTTGTTCAGGCGCATCTGGTCATGGTGTGATTCACACCGTGATTCAAGCATGGCCATGAAAATGTTTGCTAATGTAGGGCCGAGTGGACTTCCCATGGCAACGCAGTCCACCTGTCGGTAGGACTCACCTTCGAGCAAGAAGTGAACATTATCCGTGCTTGATAACTTCCACTTTAAGGACGCTAATAGAACGCTTTTGCAATTAATGGAGACACATGTGATGATGAGTAAACAGTTCCCGTAAGTCTGCCGGATTAAATTCGATAACTTTGCGAAAATGTAGTGAATAGCACGAAAAGAAAACTGAAGATGTCCCAACAGAGATCTCTCGAAAATGCCGATGAAGAGATCATAATTAATGGTTACTAACAAAAGCATGTACGTAAACTGTCCTCTGTGCAGCAAGGGTCCACCGAGAGGCCGCCGTTGCGTCCTCTTCGATTGTAAACACCGTTAACGCAAATGGAGAGAAAAAGAGCAAACAATCACTTGTCAACAAGTCAAGACAAATGAGTACCATAACTTGTAGATCGATTAAAATGGGGTCCAACAACAGTGCACGGACTGTTGTATGCTCAAATGTCCCTGAATCTACCGCCATCACATTGCGGGATAAGTTATCAGACGACCAAGACCAATGGAACTCATTGTGTATGCAGATGAGTATCAAAGCCAAGCCCATAAACTTGTTACGAATTACTCGTCATCCGAACTCGCGACACTATGGTGAACCCAGACTTATTCGAGTAACTCTAGAATCCTCCACCGACGTAGAAAACGTTTTGCTCTCCGCAAGCGCGCTAAAACACGAATCCTGTGGGATACGTATCTATCCTGATGTCCCTTGGAGCGCGCGACAGCCAAAACGAAACACCGAAGAGGGGCACAGCAAGCAAGACCGCCTAAACACAATCTTCATACATGGCGTGCCAGAACATCCTTCTAACCATGTTCAAGATACCGGAAAGCACGATTTAGAACAGTGGCGGTTCGTTCGTGAAACACTTTCTTTGGATGATGTTGTGGCACTATCGCTCACCAGGATACCCCTCTCATCGAATTATAGAGGATGAGGCCCTAGAATCCTAAAACTTGTGGTGCAGTCAGAGCAACAAGCAAAGGATGTTTTGGATCGATGGCGGAGAAGTCGGAAACATCTTCCCTCCGAAATTCGGTTAAAGATCGCAAACAATTCGCACAGCTCAAGTATTAAAGCAACTGAAGCAGCAAGCATCCTGACGAATGTACAGAAGTGTAACTTGACTGCTGCTTTACTTGACTCTGACGTAGGTCTAAACGAAGGCTGGGACGCACCTTGGCCGAATCAAGTTGCAAACGAGGTATTATTGACCCATCAAAAAGAACGAATAACTGCCGACCTCCCATCGGTCGGCATTCTCCCACACTTGACAGCTTCACCTCTCTGCGGGCTCTTAGAGACCGAGAAACTGGCCTGCTTGTATACAAATGCTCAGAGACTTCCTAACAAACTTTCTGAACTGAAAGATCGCCAAGCTTCCGGCTTGCATGATGTCATTGGTGTCACCGAGACATGGTTGCACACGGGGATGACGAACGCTGAAGTGTCGCTACCCGGCATGTCGCTGATCCGGAACGATAGGCTCACAAAAGGAGGAGAGGTAATCCTGTACTACCGAAACGACTTACAGTGCGAAGCCGTGGAGGATCCAGATTCGCAATTCCCCGACTCTCTTTGGTGCCACTTGCAGTTAGAAGGCAGGGACGCTTGCCTCATTATCTTGGTGTACCGCGCCCCTAACTCAACACCCGAAACCGACTACCACCTAATGGCTGCTTTAAGGTGCAGTTTACAACAAAAGTACACTCACATTCTTATCATGGGTGATTTCAACGTACATTGTTTAGAAGCCCCTGTCACGACTGGAGAACAATTCAAAACCGATTTACAAGATCTAGTAACTAGTGTTTCTCTTTACAACCACATCACTTTGCCCACTTGGTTCAGAACTGGTAACAGGCCATTTGTGCTGGATCTTGTGCTTACCAACGAGGAGCATATGATTGATGCGTTGGTTTTAGACTGCCCGTTGGGTCGCAGTGATCACGCAGTGATCAGTTTCAACTTCGTCTGCTATGCAGAATATCTGAATGATAACGATGATACTGGGCGAACCATCACAAGGTACGACCGACTCGCCCAGCTGGTCAGCGCCACAACATGGTCTTTCCTCGAAGAAGAACCCCCGGGAACTCGCCTGGCTCGAGTTCGTCAACAAATTCAGTCAGCTGATTGCACAGGCTTCAGACATAAAAGCTTGCAATAAGTGCAAATCCGTTTCTTTCGTTAGGAGCAGAACCCGAAAATGGATGACAGTACGCAACGTAGCATGGCGAGTGTGC